AACATTTGTCAGCTGGATTATATTGATGCTACGGTATTGATATGATTTTTTTATTATTATGTTTGGTTTCAGTTGAGCAACAATAGGTTAACAGTTTAATATGAATACAGTTTTCATGCCTTGAACGAGGAATTAAAAAGTGGAAAATGTTGCAGTCGGTCGTACAGCTTAACTAAGGAACGCGGGCAGGTATCCAAAAAGTGAAATATTGCCAAGATATGTATCGTATATGAGAAGCTGCATACCAAGTCTGGTCTAGGTAACTCTTATATTTCTCGAGTTTTGCTTAGATGAACATTGTATCAAGTTCGATACTTTGGAAATGAGAAAAATCAGAGCAAATAATGATAAACCCGATTGAGTGTGACTTAGAAAATTGAATATATAATCTTTTGAGTCTTTAGCTTTATATTTTCCGTCCTATTCAAAGAAATATATATATTCTCTATGAAATATAGATGCTTCCTTCTTACCCCTACACAGATTTGCACACAAGCTTAATTTCCGTTTCCATTCTCAATGTGTTTGGGGTATTAAAAACCTGGCCAAATTTTATACTCACTCATTACTCAAAACAATACCCCAGAACTCTCTAACCCACTCAGCCTATCAAAGCTGACCACAACTTTTGGTTTCCGTGCAATAACCTTATGTACACATAATGCCCATAAACAACCTTCTGGTCGCACGCCTCCCACCTCTCCAAAAGCTCAAAATGAAACCCCAAACAGACTCAACGCCTTTCACACGCACAGAAAGGGGGCAAAAACTCAGAACTCTCAACTTGACAAATGAAAGCAAAAACCAACTGTCCAGCGATATGAAAACCAAGAGCGTGCAAAAAAAGAACACAAATGGGGGAAAAAAGTCAAGAATGGGCAGCACGTTAATTTTTCATGGTAGACAAGAGAAAAACCATATTATTTCATTATTTACATCAGGGCGACTAAACAAACGAGACCGGCAGGTGGGGCAGCAGCAGGCGGGGCAAGCGGCGGGGCAAGCGGCGAGGCAGCGTTGTCCGTTTGGCCGGCGCGTCATTAGTCACACCAAGGGATTGATATAAAAGACGACAACAACAACAACAAGAACAAGAGTAAGAGCAAGAGCAGATCCACGTGCAAAGCGGATAAAAAGTAATCAAAAGCGTTAAGAACGACATAATAAGGCAACCGAGCCCAGGACTAGCCAAAGCTCGAGAAGCTGAACCTGAAGCTGGCCAAGATGTAACTGCAGCTGAAGGTATTCTTCGCGGCTGCTTGACAAAACGGATATGAAATTAAATAGAGAAAAGCGTAAAGCAGTTTCAGTTCCAGCGAATACGCGCATTATATTCCATTATATGCATCAGCCTCGACGTCGCAGTTGCAGTCGACGTCAGCGTCGCGAGCGTCAAGTGCTGCGTTGGCGTTGAAGCGGCAACAGCGCGGGCTGCTTAGTCGCGTAAGCAGCTTGACGCAGGGATGGGGCGCGCAATTTTTAAGCTGCAGCTTAAAGTGGCGACAACAACAACAACAACTACAACTAAAGCAACAACAACAACAGCAACAACTACTTGGCTTGACTGTGGTTCTGGCTCTAGCAGTCGAGTTGAGTTGCATTTTGTAAAACTCTTTAGTGTGATTAATGTGCCCAGACACACACACACACACACACACACACACACACACATACTTTCCAACTATGCAAACACACTAACACATGTGTTTGCTTCCTTTTATGAGCTGCGGCTGCCTGACCTGCGACCGGGACGTGCTCCTTACACTTTTCCTTTTTCCTTCTTCTAGTTTTTTTTTCTTCTTATTTCGGCTGGCTTTGCGCGTCTGTTGCTTTTGTTAGCAAAACAAAAGCCACCCACATGTATCCACACCCTGGTGCACACCTATGCACAGATTCTGTTTACTTACACACATGCACACACACACACAGATACTCACACACACACATCTGTATACACTGTCACGTTTGTGCTGCCCTAATCCTTTTGAACGCTGCTTTTATCGCGCTTACTTCTACTTATATACACTTTCCCAGGTCGTAATAACTTGTTCATTAATAACAAAACTTCACACATGCTGCAAGTGAGTTAATGTTGTCTTTTATGCTGATAAGAAAGGAAGGGTAAGGGTTCTTATAGTTGCCATATATAAGCATATATACAGATAGCTAAGACCGAGCAAGACTTGAGTTTAGTGCTGCAAAGGCATCCAAAGTGAATTTTTGAGTGTTGTTAAAGTAAAGTATATAGTTAAGACAGAGAAAGAACTTTAGTTTAGTGCTCTAAAGGTATTCAAATGGTGCGTTTCCTCGAAAAAGTTATCGAAATAGTCCAATGCTATGAATTAGAAGTGTCTTCACAATGCAACAGGTCGATTACCGATATATGGTCGATAAAGTTATCGTTATAGTCTTCTACCGTTCTTTTGCTTATCCAATCAGATTACGTAATCTATACGCAAAATTTTCACATGTATAATAATATATTCCAAACGTACTTATATGATATATCTTAAAATATAATATCATATTTATATATCTATATAAATATATACATATATATCATCATATCCCAGCTCCCAGAATTGGAATCTTTTATCACAATCTTCTACAATTTCGACCCAAGTAACAGAAAGAGTATTTAAGAGTCGCTGCATCATTTAAAACTCTTGCTTTTTTTTTTGGTTTTTTGTTGCTTTCCGTTTCGTTTTCTATGTGTGTACCTGGTGTGTTGTTGTTGTTGTTGTTGCTGGTGTGTATCTCATTATGCGTGCGGCTTCTTCCTCTACTATTTGCTGTTGCTGTCTGCGTGTTGGGTTACATATTTCATATTTCATAGTCAGAAGTAGAAGAAGAACGGCATGCAGGTGGAGGGGAGGGTAGGCAGTAGGACGAGATGTTGTCACTTTTCCTGTAGCTGATTCAACTCAGCCCCATTGGAACTTGGCTGCTTCGTTTGCTCAAGTGTTTTGCCTGCGGCTTTTGTTTTCGCCCTTCTGGGCAGGAAACAGCCGCAAGAGCAGCAACAGGCTCAAGAGGTTGAATTCAGCAGAGCTCAACGTCATCGTCATCGTCGTCGTCATTGAGCAACGAAAACCTGTGGCCAGGAGCCTGAAAAGGATTTCATGTTTATTGCAAGTTGTGTATTTTGCTTTTGCATGCCTGCTTATTAAAAACGACAGCAGCAAAAAACTAAATAAAATAAAACTTTTTGTGTGGCTTCTGCTTCGATGTTGCAACGTGTCAGCCGCAAGTTAAATGAGTTTCTCCTTTTTTTCTTCTGCTCTTATTATTCTTGCTGCACAGGAAGTTGTTAAGTGTGCCAGCAGGAGCAGAGGCAGCAGGAGCAGAGGCATCAGCAGCAGCTGTCTGAGTGCCCTGAGCCTAAGCCTGTGCCACTTACTTGCCACAGGCAAGCGAGTCCAGGGGCGCCACTATATTAATTAAGCCATTCTCAATGAAATCGAGTAAAATGTGAGGCGCAACTGTGAAACTGTGTCATGCTATAAAATCCAACAAAAAAGACGAGAAAGAAAAAAAAACAACAACAACAACGACTTAAACTCCAGACACGTACGCGCCAGGAAGCCGCATCCAGTGCCAATTGGAGTCAGTCTTGGCCAATCCTCCAGACGGTGGCATCAATTTTTGTCCAGTAGCCGAGAAAATGTCACGTTTCGCCACATAAGTTACGAAAAACCGTGAGAATTGCTGTGTTCGTTTTCCTGCCGCGCCGCGGAAAAGGTACTTTCCATGGTGAAAATTAATTGCTGGCCGTGTTATCTCCGTCTAAGACACACAGTCGGCCAAATTAATTGGAAAGCAGTGCAAATATAAAAAAAAAAAAAAAACGAAGAAAATAAAACTAAACTTAAAGTAACACAGGAAAAAAAAACACGCTGAAATTGAGCTGTTTTTTTTGCCAGCACTCACAATGGCTTTTCCAACACTGGCAGCACATAAAAATTTCAATTAATGCCCGCTTAATGTACAGCACGAAATGTTTTATAACATTTTGTGACTGCACTTTTTCCACACATTTCTTGTTCTTGCTCTCGTTGAGGCAAATACCTTTTAGCCGTAGCTCGTAAATTGTTTATGAGCCTCGCTCAGTTGAGTTACTTTGCCAATGCATATTCCACGCTCTGTTGCCCGGCCACGCCTCAATTGTGGGCTGTCGTAGCATTTACCCTTTTTCACTCTTCATTTTATTTTTACTATCTAATTGCCAACTAATTTAGTCAGACAGACAGACTAGTCGCCACATTGTTGACCAGTTCAATGGAGTGCAGGCGCGCATGTCTCGCCTTGGTAATCAGCCACATTTATGTGGGCTCATAAATATGCAAATATCCTTTAAGTACTTTTAATGTCTGGCCATTTGTTGGCCCGACTCGGCTTATGGCCAACTCCTACTCCCTACTCCCTACTCACTGCCTAATGGTCTTAATGGCATGTTTGGCATTGTCGCAGTCAACTTGGGATATTTACATGCATCTTGTGGCTGCCTTTTTCGCATTGCAATTTCTTTTCAACTTTATGAGCTCATAAATAACACCTATATGTATGTGTGTGCATGTGTGAGTGTGTGTATGTGTGTGTGCCTGGCCGTAGGTCGTGTGAGAACTTGACTGATTTTTTTTGTATATACATACTGAGGCAAATCAATGTTGCCAATGCAAGTTTTACGGAAATTGTTTGTGCAGTTCCCGATTTGCAAACTTCAGACATTTACAATTGTTGCCGGAGTTGAACCAGCGACCTCTCGCTTTGACACTTAGCCACGCAGGCTTGACGACATTTTTATGGCTGTGTTTGATGTTTGATGGGGGAAACTCTTTAATAATTAAAGTTAGCGCATATGACAACCTTTTTTTTATTGCACCTAAGTATTTGAGTAACCCTCGAACTTTGAAGTTTCTACAAGCGAGTCAAGAGCTCGCTTTGATTAGGGCTATGTATAAAAAAAGTCGTAAACATAAAACCTTTTCGCTAATTGAACACAACAAACTTGCAGGACTTGCAGCTAACAAGGACACAGGACTTGACTGAGCTGCAGCAACAACAACCACAACAACAACAACAAGAAGAAGAAGATTTCGCACACTGTGGCCAGCGGGAGACGAGCAGCAAACCGAATGCAGTATCTCAACTACGCACTGCAGACATCCACGCGACTGCTGACCAGCCAGAGCCATAGCCAGAGCCAAAGCCAGACGAGCCACAATCAGCAGCAGCTGCGCCAGCGTCAGCGCCATAGTCAGACAGCGGCCATTGAGGCAGCGGCGGCGGCTAGCACGCCCATTGAGGAGCAAATAGCGCACGCCTGCTGCAGTCGCGGTGCCCAATTGCTGCGACTGCGCCAACAGGAGCTGATTAAGAGACGCGCCCTCGAGCTTGAGGATCAGCTGAACGCCAACGACGCCAGCTGGGATAGCGATCCGTGCAGCAGCGAGCCCGAGGAAGGCGCCGTGGGCGGTGACCAGCAGAAGCAGGAGAAGCAGGAACACGAGCAGAATCAGGATCAGGAGGAGGAGAACTCCAACGAGTCGTGTCAGCCAGTCCAATGAAATTTACTCTCATTTAATGTTCAACTGGCGCGCAGCAAGCTGCTCTCGTTCTTTAACCGCGACATGGCCGCCACCGATGGCCAGATCATATTGGCCGCATCCCGTTTTGGGGATGCGACGCCCGTTTATTTGCGCGACTTCTCCAAGCAGCCGCTGCCGGCGGTGGCCAAAATACTTAAGGGCCAACATCAGGCGCTGGGCGTGCCCACTTTATCGGCGCCCTCGCTCCAGAGCACGGCGCTCTTTTTGAGCGCTGGCAAAAAATATCAAATATTGGCGCAGCCCATCAAGATCAAGGAGGGCCGCAAGCCCACCAATGTGGGCGCCAAGGTGCTCATACCGGAGACATACGGCGGCTACTTTGAGCTGCTCAGCGAGGATGGTCGCTCGACGCGCTGCATCGACTCCGTCCTGGAGCTGGCCAGGCGGCGCAATGCCCGCGTCCTGGTGCGCGAAACGTTCCGCTGCCAGCAGATGAATCGCACCATCCATGCCGGCGAGCTGTTGACCACCATGAACGACAACGGCAAATATCTGCAGTGCCGGAATATCAAGGACGAGATCATCAATCTGCCACTCGATACCAAAGCCAAGTTCTCGCCGATTGCGCGCGAGGACAGCATCAGCGGAGTGCACACCGTCAAGAATCTGCTGCTCAAGCGGATGCCCGTCATTGTGAGGTGAGTGCCAGTCGCAACTAAGGGGTATTCTATTTTATAGGGTATTTTCATTTTGTCAATAAATGTGAAGTTCGATATCGTAAGGGATTCGTCGTGAATCCTTGCATAGATTCGTCTTTCTGTTACAGGCAGCACATACGCCGGAATTGGCCAGATCGATCCACTATATCCTATAGCTGCCATAGCAACTATGTTCTTTGTTGTTCTTGAAGAAAGATAGCCTCTTTAGCAGCAATTCTTTAAACCTTAATCTCATATACGTATATATTATTTCCTCCCCCTTCCGGCAGACTCGTACATGGCAGCGCGCCCAAGGGCCTGAAGCAGCCGTTTGTGCCGGAGCTGCGGCTGCTGGGCTGCGTGGAGATCGATCGGATATTTGCGCTGCCGCTGCAGAAGGACACGGATCTGGTGCCGGTGCCGTTGAATGCAAAGATAAAGCTGCAGCGTGTCAAGAATATGGAACAGCTGGAGCATTTCATAGAGTATACGCGCTTTCTGGACAAGGCGCAGCGACTGCTGGCGGATGCACGCGATCGCCTGCAGATTGTCGATCTCAAGCTGAGCGAAAAGGAGAAGAAGGACTCCAAGTTCAGCAGCCGCAACAGCGGCAACAGGCTGCCGGTGGTGATGCTGCCCTCAGCAGCGGGCCTGGCCAGCGGCTGGGTCGAGAGTGGCTATGTGCTGCGCAAGAGCGCCAGCTGCGACTCCTGGTCCAAGCAGCAGCAGCAGGCGCTCAACAGCGCCGAAATCGCCGAGGAGTACAACGAGATCGATCACATCTATGACTATGTGCGCGGCCTGACGCCGCTCTCGAAGGGCTTGTCGCGCTTCGAGCCCATCTGCGAGTCGCCCACACTCAAGTCGCATCACACGGACAGCAGCGGTAATGGCAACTACTGCAGCTTGATACGCGCGCCGGCAGCTCCTGCTGCCGCTGCCCAGCAACAGTCACAGCAGCCCGGCAGCAACAACAACAACAACAACAACAATAACTACAGCAGCCTGGAGTCGAACAAGCACAGCAGCAGCAACGGCGGCGGCGGCGGCGGCGGGGGACACCATCATCAATACCCGCACCAGCCGGCGCAGCAGCAGCACAATCTGCATCAGCATCATCATCATCCGTCGGCGCTGCTGGTCAATCACTATCATCACAGCCATATACAGGAGGATATCAAGCCGGTGCCGCCGCCCATTGAGACGATACCCGGCAAGAAGCCGGCCGAGAAGCGGCAGCGTCCCACACTACCAAAGCTTTACATCAAGAATGCGAATGCGCACAGCGCCGGCAGCAGCAGCAATGGCAACTCCACCGGCGGCACCAGTCACAGTCACAGTCACAGCCATAGTCACAGTCACAGTCACAGTCTCAGTCAGAGCCATTCGCAGCAGCAGCTGCCGCCAACGCCGGGTAGCAGCAGCAACAACAACAACAACAATACGGCCGCCATTGTGGCCAGCGCCGCTGCAGCAGCGGTAAACGCTCACCACGCCCACTCGCACGCCCATGCACACCACGCACACACACACCCACACGCACACCCACACCACGGCAAGGTGCTGACGCCCAACAATCATTTGCCCGTTAAAGAAACGCTGGAGCCGCAGTCGCCGCTGTTTCATATCAGGTAAGCAGCAGCAAGCAGTTGCTACACTTTCAAAAATATTTGACTACATTTAAGAAAATCTTCGTAAAAGAAAATTTAACTTAACTTCAAAACATTTTTTATTTTATTTTATTTTATTTTTCTATTAATTCCTAAAATAATTTATTTTAAAGCAAGATAGTTTTCTTTTTTTTTTTGAGTGTATGGGCAACCATCTGGAATACTCCAGTTAGATTTAAACAGCATTTCTAATTGGGAAATCCTTTAATTGACTTTTGCCTATATTCCCGCCACAGATACAAGAGCCTCAGCAGCCTGCAGCTGACGCCGGACAGCAATACAGCGGCCATGACGCCGCCGACGATCTCAGCCAAGGTAGCAGGAGCCGGAGTTTGTGGGGGCGGGGGCGGCTCACAGACGCCGCCCGATGTGGTGCTCAAGTGCGGCAGCATACTTAACTCGCACGGCTATCTGGCGCACAGCCGCAGCTCGAGCAGCAACAACAACAATCACAACAACCATAATCCGCGCGAGGGAACGCTGGACTCGTCGCGCAGCGGGGGACGCACATCGGGCGATTCACAGAAGCTGCCGGAGAAGAAGACGCGACGCTTGTCGCGGCCGCGCAGCCTCTCTAATCTGGTGTGGGATCTGCGGCCATCCAAGGAGAAGTCCAAGAAGAAACTCTATGTGCATCATTTTGATCAGCGTCAGCAGGCGACGCTCTATCTCTAGGATGTCAAAAGGGTTGCCGAGCTATACGAAGTCGAGGTGGAGTGGAGTGCAGTGTAGTGCAGTGCAGTGGAGTGGAGTGGAGTAGAGTGGACCAGAGTGGACTGGAATGAAGTGGAGGAGATTCGTTGCCAAATCGTTTCGCTGCCATCAACGACAAACCCACAGACAACAACAACAACAACAACAACTACAACAACAACTACAACAACAACAACAAGCATCACCAACATTTAGCGCTGTGTGTGTTCCTGCAGGTGAGCAGACGCTGTGCTTCGAGGGGTTGGTGGTTGGTCGAAGGGGGAGGGGGCGTGGCAATGCAAATCGTGCAGCCCTATGATTGTTTTGCTTATTAAATTCGTGCAGCTAACCTAAACTAATTTCCTCTCTCAAGCTGTCTCCAATCTGAGTTGCTCTCCGTCTCTCGCACTTACTGACTCCCAGTCTCCCTCTCTGTTTCTCTCTCTCTTTCTCTTGCAGCTTTCACCATTTTAGCTTGCAGCAGCAATTTTAATTAACAATTGAATTGTGCCTTCCCCTGCGCCCAGAACTATGCTTTAAACAAAAATTCCACTGAAATATTTTAGAAGAATATTTTGCCTGGATGGACGAAAGAGAACGAATAATGAGAGAGACGGAGATACAGTGAAGAAAAAATAACGGAAGAACCAAACAAAACCTATCACATGAAGCGCTGACAACACACACACACACACAGACAGACAGACACATACACACACACACACACACACACACACACACACACACACACACACCTACAGAAACACACACACACACATCAAGTCTATAAAATTGTGATTTTAATTTAATGTTTAATTTAATATTATGCGACACTTTTAGTTAATATTTTTAAACGAGGCGATGAGGCAAAGAAGGAAAAAAACAAAACATAAACAATTAAAAAAGCCATTTATCATTTTGCTGTCGCTTTCAGTTTGAGTCACATTTAAATTTTACAAAATTAACGAATGTTGTAACTAAGCTTAAACAAAAAATTAACAAAAAAAAAACAGCTTAAAGCTCGTCTTGCAAAAGCTGCAACAAGAGAGGCAGAAGAAGAAGCAGCAGCAAAGACAGCGGCGAAAGGGAGCAGACGAAGGCGCCCGCAGCAATATCAAAATACACACATATATAAACAGATACATATACATATACAATATGCATATAAGTATATTATATAGATAAGCAATATTACATATTATTATATATATATATATATATCGTACATTATTTAACTAGAAGAAGTTATGCAGCAGCTGCAGCTACAACAACCACAACAACAATAACAACAACATACACTATGCATATTTAATGTTATATTCAAATAGTTGAAATGAATTTATTAATTTCTCCTCATAATTTAAATGTTGTTTCGTATGTTGTGCATTGTATTTCGTGAAACTGTATTCGTAATTGTTTATAATTAATGCAATTTAATTACAATTAAAATTACCTATTCTCTTGTTAGTCTTTAGTTGCACAGAGCTAAGCGGAGCGAAAGAGAGAGCAGGAGACGGAGATAACTAACTAGTTCCCTCTCACTTTCGCTCCGGCTCTCGCAATGCATTGTCTTAGTCGTTTAGCGTGTACATTTTAGTTATTACAATTATATCGCTTATATAGCATACGAGCATATAGAGTATATTATACTATAACTACATTCTATTTGTGTCTAATAAATGTCTCAGAAATATATAAATTGTATATGCAAAATAACCCGCAATTCTTTCGACCGCCCGTGGGCGTTATATAAAATGAAAGCAATTGGAACAGCTATAGAAATGAGAATAATTTCCATCGATTGTTTTACGTCAACAACTGCAGCTGCATTTACTATGAGAAAATGTAATAACTAATTCTAATTAACCGAATTGCGTCTTGAAAGTTGCTCAAGCCATAAATGAAGCAACAATGTGGGAATTGCGCAGGTATTAAATAATTATAGTTTTTATCATATGATATGCTGGAAAAACAACAAATACGGTAAGGCATTATATTAGAATTAAATTATCTGGGTTTTCGGTCTGTTTTCCTTTTTTAGGCGATGGAATGCCAATCCATAGTCCTGCTCCCTACGAGGGCAAAAAAGTATATCCTTCTGATATCCTTTAGGATTTGGCCAAGATATGGCCAAAAAACGAATGTCCTTTTTAGAAAAATGGCCATAGCTCGGCCATATCCTTGCACAATTTCGCAGGACTTGGTGCGTTAGGATCGTAAGGACAAGCTGCGTCGATCTGCATCAAAAAATTATGGGGTCATCTAAGAATCCTGTACTTGTAAAAATGTTCTGCCCCGATTTGCAAGGGAAACAGGCCGAAAACACAAAATCCTTCATATTTCAGAAACTACAAGGACGATTTTGATGTCCTTTGGCCAGATGATAGCCCTGGTCCATACAATTTATTTGACACAGGACTCGTCAGGATATACAAGGATATAACGGAGTTATAGGCTATTTTGTGTTTGAAAATTTGGCATTTTTGCTCCGCCATTTGAAGGACTTTCGTCCTTTTTATTGCTAATTCGTAATCTGGGGGACGAGGACTATTTACTGTCCAAAGGACATCATGATAGTCCTTAAAATGGCCAAGTTAGCCCGGATTTTATCGATTTTTGCCAATTTTCCGAGTAAACCCCTAGGAAAATTTTAATGCAAATTTTTGGTCGAATCCTGAAAATCCTTGAATGCCAATCGATAGTCCTGCTCGCTACGAGTTCAAACAGATGTATCCTTCTGATATCCTTTAGTATTTGGCCCAGCTATGGCCAAAAAACGAATGTCCTTTTTAGAAAAATGGCCATAGCTCGGCTATATCCTTGCACAATTTCGCAGGACTTGGTGCGTTAGGATCGTAAGGACAAGCTGCGTCGATCTGCATCAAAAAATTATGGGGTCATCTAAGAATCCTGTACTTGTAAAAATTTTCTGCCCCGATTTGCAAGGGAAACAGGCCGAAAACACAAAATCCTTCATATTTCAGAAACTACAAGGACGATTTTGATGTCCTTTGGCCAGATGATAGCCCTGGTCCATACAATTTATTTGACACAGGACTCGTCAGGATATACAAGGATATAACGGAGTTATAGGCTATTTTGTGTTTGAAAATTTGGCATTTTTGCTCCGCCATTTGAAGGACTTTCGTCCTTTTTATTGCTAATTCGTAATCTGGGGGACGAGGACTATTTACTGTCCAAGGGACATCATGATAGTCCTCAAAATGGCCAAGTTAGCCCGGATTTTATCGATTTTTGCCAATTTTCCGAGTAAAGCACCAGGAAAATTTTGATGCAAATTTTTGGTCGAATCCTGAAAATCCTTGAATGCCAATCGATAGTCCTGCTTCCTACGAGCTCAAACAGATGTATCCTTCTGATATCCTTCAGGATTTGGCCAAGTTATGGCCAAAAAAAGAATGTCCTTTTTAGAAAAATGGCCATAGCTCGGCCATATCCTTGCACAATTTCGCAGAACTTGGTGCGTTAGGATCGTAAGGACAAGCTGCGTCGATCTGCATCAAAAAATTATGGGGTCATCTAAGAATCCTGGACAATTTTGATGTCCCTTAGCCAGATGATAGCCCTGGTCCATTTAATCCTGTGTCAAATGAATGATGCATCTCGTTTTTTGCTATAAATGACTTTCTGAAATAAAAAAAACTTTAATGCCATTCTATTCTATGGACCTCCACGAGCTCAACGCACCTGATCTGCCCCAGTTCGGGCTTCAATTACCTGCAAGATTGTCACTTCACGCGCGTGTTAAAGAAGTATTTTAAGAAAAAGAATACACATATATTTCTGGACCATTTCCATGCGTGTTTTGCGTGGATTTATTTCTTTAGGTTCACTAGGACAATATCTATGATATGGTATAATCAAGGATATTCAGGTCAACTAGGAACCAGTGAATGCCGTCGAGGCCGGCTGAAAGAAAATTCATACATATTTCACGTCCAAATTCTTGCTCAATTTACAAATATTCGGGTATTTAGGTTCGCCAGGACTATATCTCTGATATGGCATGATCAAAGATATATGGGTCATCTACGAACCATCAGCATTGATCATTTATGAGCTCGGAACTGGAAAGATATGCCTTTCTGCGCACGCCGTGGTCTATAGATCAGATGGCAGTTCCGTGAGGTCCTCAATCTGAAATGATAATAATATATTAAAATACAACCAATTAATAAAACTATATATGACAACAATAAACAACACTTTAAATGGCCATATCTCGAATAATTTAAGACCGCTCGTGGAATGATTTTGTTTATTGGCAAGCGATAGTCATGATTCGTATTCGTTTATTAGTCAAAAATCTGATCTTTTTCATTCTAGATATTCAAAAGTAATAAAATGATATCTTGAAAAAGCGCAAGTACCTATAAATACATTGGAAAATCGGTTATTAATTCGATTTAGGATGATGGATATTAAAGTGCTTGATCTTAAGGAACAGCCAAGGGGCTTTTTTGTAAACACAATTTGATTTTTCTGATCTACGTCCGCAGTGTCCTTATACTAATTGAAAAAAAAATTAATTGAAATCTCACTGTCATGTTCATAAGGCTGAGAATAAGACGACTGGAGAATAATTAGCTTCTATTTCCTATTTCTCTTCTTACATACGCACATAGTTGAATTTATAGAAACGCATTCTCCAAGAGGCTTTAAATATAAACAATTAAAATATATAAAAAATTGCCTTCGATTGGCTTTGCCTTCTCTACAAACACGACAGCATTAGTTTTATGACCTGTTCCTGCGCCTTATAAATAAACATTGGTTCGCACTGAGGTTAACATCAACAACAACCACAACAACAACAACAACTATTCTGTTAAGCGTTTCAAGCACACAATAGTTAACTGGCTTTTACCAAATGGGGAGCAGTGCCAGGTGAAAACTGCGCAATTGTTGGCGTTGTTTTTCGTTTTCCCAGTTCAAATAACGCAGCGAAAATTTCAATAGAGCAACACTTAATAATTTATGGACACATGCCAAATACTTCCTGCTAAGCGTAGAGGCGAGACAATGAAGCGAAACACCTGCCAAGGCATCGACACCTGGCCAAAACACGAATTTGATTGCGCCCATTTGGGCAAAGAATTAAATCCCAATTGCATTACATTTCCATAGAGCGAATGCGGAACAGACTGGCGGAAAAAAAAAGAAATACTATATAGCGATAGATAGAGGAGGCTCAATTGCGTTAATGTTGGTAATTAGTTGGCAATATCGAAAGATTTAATTTGCGCGCCGGCCCCAAAACGGTGCGAGCCGATCGAGTTTGTTGCCTAAGTCTTTTGTATTGCGGCGCGAGCGTATGGCAAAAATGCTATGCAAATAGATTGGCTGCGGCTGGAGCCGGAGCCGGAGCTGGAGCTGAAGCTCAGGCTGGCGGCAACGAATTGAATAACATGAAAAATGCGCTTACATTGCGATATCATCACGTTTATGACGCTGGCGCAATTAATCAGCCGACATGCAAGCGCTAAAAGGCAGACTCCAACTCAGACTCGGAGTCGGATACAAAGACGACAAGCGGCATGCGGCATGCGGCAGAGCGACGCACAGCTGGCCTCGCATTTTACTCTTAAGAACCATAAACGTTTCTCTGTTCATCAAATGTGCAATTTATAACATTTTCCTAGCCGGCTGCCGCGGTACCAAAGCCAACTGCAGACGCCTACGCCAAAAAGGAAGAAACTAAAGTTCCCTAGAGCGAAGTGACCGACTAGGGCATACCCTGAGCCCAGCGACGAGCTGCCGTTACTTAAATTTCTTCTTCCTTTTGTCACGCACTGCGGCAAAAGCATTCTCGAGTAACTTTGGTGCTTATTGTCCGATTCTGAATGAAAATGAAATTCAGTGTTAAGCTGAAGGGGAAGAGTATCTAAAAGTGCAAAACTCTGGATGGATGGAGTATCGACCTCTTATAAGCTCCAGGGTTTGGTCAGAAAACCTAATCTGAGAATCGATACTTATCGATTTCGCGGAAGCCCAGTTTTCTATCGTTTTCTTGAAATAAACTCGATCTCAATAGAAGCAGCTATATTTCAATACTCTGGACAGCCATGTGTAGATCGACTCGACTATTGTTGCTGATCGGGGGATATACATATATCTGCTGGAGTCGGATATGCCATCTTCTGCCTGTTACATACACTTGCACAAAACCCTGATACCCTTTTTACCCATTTCAAATGGGCTTTCAAGGTACAACAACAACAGAAAATCTCAGGCCTCAGTTGCTGTCGTTCTCGTTCTGCCCAACGGCCTGGCTGCATGTTGCCTGGCCATTTGCTACAGTTATGGCACACAGGAAGAGACAGAGGCACAACTGTGGAGCTGGCGGCGGCGGCGGCTCGAACAGCTGCCTGCTATGGCGCAGCCTCCAAGTTGGCTCCGCGGCTCATGTGCCGGCGATTTGTATCGCCGTCTGTTTAAACTGTGTAAATCGCCCTAAACTACGCATCAGTTTCGGTTTCAATCTTGAGCTTGACTGCCACCCGTCTCTTTACCGCCCGCCCGCCCGCCGTAGCCGTTGCCGTTGCTCGCTCAATATGTTTATTTAAACATTGAGGAAGTGCTTTTCGCTTAGCGTGGCTCGCAACTTGATCTGCGATATATACGCGATATTTGCGATGTAGCGGTAACAAATTGCCCTCTGCCAGTGGCTTCCTACCAGCTCTCCTCCATCTCCCCCCCCCCCTCTCTCTCTCTCTCTCTGGTTGCAAATCCTGGCCCAGTTCTTAGACGCTTCCGCGTCACATGCACACACAATTAAAAGTGCGCACAGTTCAATTACCCAGAGCCCCAGACAAAGTAGAGACTTCCCCCCAATTGAACACTGGTCGAAGCAGTTGCTAGGGTTCTGCTGGGTTCTCAGTCAGAGTTCTGCAATTACGCGCGGGTCGACGACTCTTGCTGGCAGTTGTTGTTGTTGTTGCTGTTGTTGTTGCGCAACTGTTGCAAGTTGCAACTGCCTCGATAATCATTCAAATTTACAAGAAAACAATCAAAAACAAATTCCTAGAACACAAATCGACGAAACTCATTTCATTTCAATTAAAGTTGCACGCCGACTGCAACTGCGACTGCGATTGGGAGGATCTGGCGCAATGCACAGCGACGTTTGTATACTCTATAAGGCAGTGCAGGCATAGTTCTATGGCTCTCCACGCATGCGCAAATTGTCATTAGCAACTGATTTCTTTGGCCTGGCATCCAAACCTTTACAGAAAAATCTCCCAACTGCATTCTACTGCAGGTTAGCGCATGCGCAGTCAACGGCGAGGGGGCGGGCGAGCGAGCGGAAGGCCAAGGAAAAATCCCAAAGAAAAACAAATTTAAATAAGACAAACGTCAACCAATTACCGTCAATCGCATTTCCCGCAAACGTCGAGCCGGCGACGTTTGCTCAGCCAACCTTTTGCCAAGCAGCAATTGGCAACATGGAGGATGCGGCTGATCCGGCTGAAGCGAACCGAGCGGAGCGAGCGGGGGCGGCTGGGCGCGCATGTGCAGTTACGAGTGCAACTCCGACTGCGACTGCGACTGCGTCACACGCGGCGGGGTCAACAAACTGTGCGCGGCATTTGAATAAGCTGAGTTGATGCTGCTGTTGCTGCTGCTGCTGCTGAAATCAAATCAAATCCAAATCAAACAAAACAAACTGCTGGCAAAGGAGACACAGCGGAGCAGGAAAGCCACAACAACAACAGCTACAACAACAACAACAACAACAACAACGCAGCGACAAGGCATCGAACAAATTTCCATGCTGCTGTGAAATTCCGCGTTGCGAAGACGACGTCGCGAACGAAGTTGTTTCAGTTTGTTGTTGCTTGCTGCTTGTTTGTTGCCAAGGCTTGTTCTATGCTTGTTTTATTATGCCCGCTCACAAGCTGAAACGGGCGTATTGATTTCCTAACATTCGAAAACAGAAAATTTAATAATTTCCTTACATTTTAAATATTGCTTTTTAAAACTTAAACTGTTTCTCATTTTAAAAGACTTTCTTTCGATAAAATAAAAATGTTTTGGAATTTTCTCAACTAATTTTAGAGACTTTTCTTGATTTTTGAAAACGAATTGCTTTTTCTTTCTAAATAGTAGGAACATTTTTTATACAAATTTTTAAATATAAAAAAAATATTTCTTTCGACAACAATTTTCTAAATTTAGATTTTTCGAGTCTATTAGAAAGGGGAGCTACTGAAATTAGAGGCTGGCCGCTTTAGAGCAAGAGGGGCTGATATGCACTTCGAAAGATCGATAAAACATATGTCGATAAGTCGAATAATCGATTTCTCTTAAGATGTTTTGGCTGGCAGCTGTTGTTGTACTGTGAACGTGTATTACGCAGTCGCTTACAACATTCTGACTTCCTATTTTCTTAATTTTTTTTTTTTTGGGCTCTGCGCGCAATTATCCGTCGCGTATTTGCTTTGGCTTTGACTTTGGCATTCTGCCATCGATGTACATGTCGAATGTGCATGTGCATGTGTCTGTGTGTGTGTGTGTGTGTGTGTTGTTGTTGTTGTTGCTGCTGCTGCCCAAACCTTTCTTCCACTTCCACTTAAATTGCCCATGACGAGCTGTGCGCACTGACAGCTGTGGCAGCAGTTGAGCAACTGTCTAGCTGACAGTGTGCCCAAGTCTATATACAGATTCAGTCCACAGCAGCAGCAGCAGCAACAGTCGCAGCGGCAGTGTATCCATCATCAGCATGCGATTCTCATGCGAAAAGGTCAACAGCAACAACAACAACAACAACAACAACTAGTTGCAACTTAGAATTTCAATCATTGACTTTGGCCAAAGTGAAATGCGCCGATGATTCGCCCCGCCAGCTGCAGCAGCAGCCACAGCAGCAACAGTTGCTGCTGTTTTGTTTGCTGTTGCAAGCAGCAGTTGAAGCTGCTGCTGCCGCTGCCGTTGCTTCTGTGCGTCGCTCGCTGCAGCTAGATTGTCGCTGCGCGTTGGCCACTTTGTTCTGGAGCGATATCTAGCAGCTAAAATTGCTGTTAGGCAACCGATCACGTTCGCTGCATGCATACAAAACAGTCAACAAGGCTGCTGAGGAGAAGGCTGAGGAGAAGGCTGAGAGGCGGCTGCTGCTGCTGCTGCCTGTTTCGCA